TGGACTACTCAACATGAAAAACTTAAGTGTTTAAACTGCAAAGCTGTGAACGAAGGTCCTGCTTGATTGAACGTTGGATCTCACAGGAGATCTAATCAGCCAAACTTGAAAAGTAAAATGATAATGCGTCACTACTGCAAGGCTGACACAACGTCGTAGAGTTGGCCTCAGGTTTAGATGTTACTAAATTATAAAAATGAAATTACAATATTATACAATAGTGCCGATGTTTGTTCTGTTTTCAATAGCTGTTTCGTTCATTAAAAGTTGTTCGTTTCGCTCATATAAGTTCATTATGGTCAAGGAATAAGACACATTCTCATCAAAGCTCACCACATTAGCATGAGAATTAATCATTTTCAGGTCACTTTCCAGCAAACAAATGCACATCTCCTGGTCATTTTGAACGCCTGGACAACTTACATGCTCATGAAATTCAGCCTTCAAGTTGGCCATAGTACTAATTCGAACATTTGAAGTCAACTCCACTTCAATTTAACGAAACACCTAATATTAATGGTCGTGTAAAAGCTACAAAATCATCAATATTCAGGCTGGCACGATGCACACATTGAGTAGTAGACTCGCACTGACTGCATGGTTACTATTTCAATATGGCGTCAGGCTTGGTTACTATTCCAACATAGCATCGGGCTCGGTTACTATTCCAACATGGCGTCGAACTCGGGCGCTCTTGTTCAGGCCGACTAATTACGAACAGTGTCTACACCTGAGTGAGTGAGTGAGTGAGTGAGTGAATGACACATTTGCATATCGGAGTCCCCACAACAAACACATTTCTACACTTCACATATCCACAAGTTTAAAAAATGAAAAAATTATGAATTGTTACTGACCCTTTCCTAATTTAACATTTTTTTTTGGTCAGCTGAAAATGAACACAAACAGTTTAGCTGAGTAATATCTGCTTATTCCATATTTCAAGAAGATCGCAAAATTGGATTGGCCGAACTGTGCATGGACCCGCTTCTATCTGATCACCAAAGCTAACTTAACTAAGTAAGTACTAGATGTATGACCAAGTAATATACAGTTGAACCCTGCTATTTCAAACTCTCAGGGGAAACGAAAAATAGTTTGAAATAGTGGAGGTTCAAAACAGCTGATAGTAAATGACTGAAGGGCAAATCCAAGGGAAGTGGTATTGATTTCGAAATAACAGGGATTTCGAAATAACCAAGTTCGAATTAGCAGGCTCCAACTGTAAATATAAACCAATAATTCAGACTGCAAGATCTCTCTGTAATTACATTTGACTGAAACTCCAAATCGATACATGGAATATACACTGGGAACCCACTCTTGGCAGTTCAATAAAGAATTCAGGAGAACGGAACTCAAAAACCCAATTTTTAAAAAGTCATTCTTATGAAAGCACATGATATGTTGTAATCAAATCAATATGTTTTAGGATGTGAACTTACCTTTTAACCTGATTGTAACAGGAAAAAGCTCCGTACCAGAACAATTTGAACGTCTGCCATTTTGGAATCCATGTTGTAGGCTTCCAGAGTGCATAGCATGATGTCAATGCGCATATGGGAAAAATGTGCAAATTTCAAGTACTACATTTTAACTGAGATTGTAGTCAAATCGAGTTATATATAGCACTGTTTGTAAAGCTTGAAATGTTATGTTTGTGTATAATTGAATCTTATGTTGGAGGATTAACTGAGCTCAACGAAACATTCGGAAAAAATCTCACAGCTGGTAAATTATTTGTGACTATTTGTGGACATAAGCTTACATGCTATTTAGTTCTCTTGGTGCTCTCATTCCGCACACTTGACACAATCCACGATAGCGATCTCTACAACTTCCCCTTGTAAACAAATCATTTGAAAGAGAGGGTGCTGTGTTATACATCTAGGAGTCGGTTGATCTGCCTCAATGTCTTAACCAAAACAATATAAACAGGTTATATCGTAACCATTTCGCTGCCATTTGAGCCTGCCACGCACACCACAACACAATAAATGAAATAAATCAAACAATACTTTCTTCCCACGGAGTCTATGGCTGTTTATTAGCTTCCTACTGCCAAAATAATTAACATCCGCTGAATGCAAAAGTATTATTCAACTGAAATTTTAGTTATGGCTTCCTTGATCTCCTTGCAGCATAAACATTCTTTCTCTTGTTGCACTTTCCAGTTCGCACAACACTTGCATACACACCACGATGTATTTCCTCTTCGGCACTCATCTTGACTCTTGTGAACATCATCTTCCTCTCATTCCGAACTGTCTCACATAGGTTCAAAAGAATAAGGCTCGATCTCAACCTTAATTCAAGCTAAATGCAGTTTCAACACAAGATTCTTCTTAAATTTTGTTGACATGAAAAAATGCACGTGCGCAGTAACGTCACAACATGGTGGCAGGCATTCCTTTTATGGAGGTAACCGGAATGAAAGATGTCCAAAATGGCAGACGTTCAGTTTTGAAAAATGACCACAGGTTTTGGACTCTTTTCATCACTTTCAAAGGGCAAAATTCACTTTTTCTCGCTTTTTACTACAAATCCAAGCTATTTCAAAAGTTGTAAGCTCCCATGTAAAATACAACTCCTGGCCCTTTGTTCTCCTTCAAAGCTATGAGTCAATTGTTTGCAGTTTTTTTACATACCAAGAACACACCTGGAGTGTCTACACATGCGAGGCTTGTTTCTGTGGTTAATCGCTTTTGTGACTTTTTCCTTTTGTTTTTTGAGTACTTGTTTAGAACATTTGGGTCACCGATTGATATTTTACTTGTGCTTTTAACAATTTGAATTTCTGGTGAATTAGCGCATATTTAGTTTTCTTTTTAGTTTTTTTTTTTTTGCACTTTTACTCAATAGCTAACGAAGGCTGCTGAAATCAATTTGATTAGGGTAATGGCAGGAAAAAAATACCTGCCGCTATTGCACTAGCCTATTGTTGTTTTGCCCAGTTCTTGCATGGTCCATTACTTAAAACATCATAATCACTTGAATTCATTTCATTTTAAACTAGAGGGGGGCTTGAGGGATATCTGGGTGGGCTTGTAATCAGAAGTAAAATTTGCTCACAGGTAGACAGGCCTATAACCAGGGGGAAAGCGGGAGGGCTTATAAGTGGCAGTTAACGGTATTTCAGCTCCTATTCTCCTTGCAAACTCTTATTAACTACACAGCCATGGGCCAAGTGCAGTTCTTGCTCTGCACGGGGCTTACTTTTTTGTTTTGTCGCTGACCAGACGCAAACCTCTGATTGGCCAAAATTTGGAATCACGCAACTTATAATGTTTGTTCACCAAGAGCTGTTAAAACATTACTGTACTGAAAATTTTATGAATATTCTACTCTTTATTTAGTAAAGAATATATTGCCTTTTTGTGTTATTGAAGCGCTTGATTTGAAGCAAGTACTGAATACTTAAAAAGTAATTACGTCATTCATGGAATGTGTCGACGTTGCAACTCTCTCTTGGGCAGCATGTTGAACAAGATCATGCTTGTTTTGGAACTTTTATTTCGCCAGGAGCGATAGTCATTGATCTAACTGTAATTTTCTGAGTATTTTCCGTATTTTTAGACAAGAAGTGAATCGTTGTGCTGTTTTATTGAAGCGAGTTCAGAGATCAGAAGGAAAATGTAATATTTGCAAGCCAAGCAAAGAACATGTCAGAATGTGCAAGGATTACGTCATTGGTATCTATTCTATCTGGCTAGCCCTCGATAACATAATTCTTGAATTATGTGACTCGTGTGACTACTTTGCTAACCCTTTACTTATTGAAAAACCAATTAAATTTACACTGTGTCTCTATGTCCAGCAGCCGGACAGGTTTTTCAAAATACTTCATGTTTGGCAGTCAAAATTATTTTTTAAAAATTTCAGCTAATAATGTCAAATCCTTGTTTATATGGCTGAATACTAATTTTGGTGAGCCCAGCACCTGGAATATTGGGATTTATAACATAGACTATTATAAAGTGACAGGCAGTCAAAACCTTTGAATAGCCATCTGGTTAGCCTAAAAAGCACTCCGGTTAGCCTGAATAGCACTCCAGTTAGCCTAAATAGCTCTCTGATCAGCTTGTTTACGGTTAGCTTTCAATAATGCTAATGGTAACTCTATAAATACTTAAAAAATTCCGAAAGCAGCCGGCCAGTTGCTGCGGCGCAGTGATCATGGGTATTGCTTGCCATGCTGACGACCCAGGTTTGATTCCTCTTGGGGTCGCCTGTCATACAGTTCTTTTTACGTTGCTTTACTTTATAAAAAAAATTTATAAAAAAAAGTCTCACGGCTGGACACAGAGTATTTTAAAAACCTGTCCGGCTGCCAAACATGTAGCCACAGTGTTAAATTTAATCATGACTTTTAAGAAAGAAAGCTGTTGTTAATAGTGTTATTATCGCAACGTTCGTATCCTTCATGCCCATACATATCCCAAAGAAAGTTTCAGATTAAGACCATTACGTCATCGAAGATTTCACAAAGTCTAAGAGCGATGGTGCAATAATACAGTTTGTGTCGATCAAGTCATGTGGTGTCTACAGTAATCAATGAATCATCAAGGACTGCTTTGGAATTTGCAATGCATTGCATCTGTAGTGCTAAGAAAACAGTTATATTTTAAAAGCGCGGTTATCAGATCTCAAAGATCTTCATGTTTTACGCTTAGGAGCCCCTTATGGGGTTATGCATGCATTGGGTTGTGATATCAAATTGGAGAAAGTCCGACTACTGTCATCGTGTCTTGGAAACAAAGCCAAAAAGTTATTAAAATTTCCTCTTCCCTCAACAGTTCACTTGGACCTTTGAGATCTAGGTGCATATCGTCCACGAGAGAATGTAACCTATATAACTCAGTCGTAATTTTAGCACTGTTTTGACTGAAAAGGCAAAAAATCCCCGTCACAGAGTCCTTGAAACGAGCTTAATTGCGACATTTTCCTTGGGTTAACAAAAGCTGTGAGAAATAAAGATAGTTTTAATTACACAGACCTACCGTCGCCATTGTTGTACTCATCGAAATTTTCTTGTTTTCCAAATTCAGTAGGCCCACATCATTCTCGATACGAGAGTAGCACCCATGGACGCAGCCATATTTATTTTTTTGCAAATACCAAGCAATTAGTCATACCAAATATGGAGATGAAAAATAAATGGCGGGAACTTTTCCGGGGGTCCACGGAGGTCTCTGTGAATTGCGGATGAACAGGCGGGGGATAGGGTACTCTTTTATATGGGCTATATAGGTATGGTTTTTCAGCCATTTTGGTCATATATAAATAGGGCATGGTTTTTGCACTCTAGTCTTGAATTTAGTATATTTCTTAGAAGAAGCTACTTTTTCACCATTATCGATAAGACCGTCAACAAAAGCCTTCACAGAACCTTTAACATCGCGGTCTGGACTAGGTAACTATTTATAAGGCAGGTCTGAAACAGAGTATTGATTAAAGGGTCAGGTCATAGATAGGGTGTCGAATTTTCCTGTCAGGTCATAACTAGAGTCAGGAGAAAATCGCAGATTTCGGTTATAAATTGGATACAGGCCTTGGGGGGAAGGGAGCGGGCTGCATACCGCCAGCCAATTTTTTTCTTTTTCTCGTATCTCTTGGTTTAGAGCGCCGAGAAATCCACTGCTAAGCAAAAAAAAAAAATGGAAAATGAAGGCGTAACACTACATAAAGTAAACAGAAGCGCATTTTCATTTCCGGTTTTTTTTGGAACACTATTCGATCTGACTCGATCTGGCCCGATCTGGATCAAGCAGTTTTCCTGTCAAAAAAATATTACGTGTGCGTTGGTTGTCATTGCATTTTAGCTTTCAGTTATTGGCCAATATATAGATTTAGCCAAGCCTAAAACCGGAGCTCCTGGGCCGGGTTGTTCAAAGTCCGATCAGTAAGCTAACTCAGGATAAGCGAGAATTTTGATTTGAGTTTTGTAACATTGCGGCGAGGTTTTCTGTTTATATTATTTGGCCTTCTGTTTTGAGTTTCAATAATCTCAAACTACACAAAACAAAAGCAGTGAAAAATATTTGTATACCTCCCAAGCAACCAGACCTTCAGTATGTAAACCAAGGCTGTATGTCTCGGTCGACCTATTAGTGGGTGTCTGGAAAACCCGAATAGCGAATAGCGAATAGTCGCGAATAGCGAACAGCGAATAGTACGAATAGTGCGAAGGGTCGAGTCTATCTTTTTGTCGAGGGTCGAGGGTCGAGGGTAATATTTTTTTCTGGGTTTGTTGTCTTACTCCTTGCTGTAGAATCGATTTCCGCCACTCAGTCGAGTCCGGTCTACATGTTCTTCCCCGATTTGGTTAAATGTAGTCTCCTCGATTCAGATAGCTTTTTGGGTCCCATGTCGAGAGTTTAACAATATATCACAGACCTGATTATTTATCTATAACCTTCTATAACATTCAAAGTCCGGTTTTTCATGTGACTTCATCACGCTGGATGCTTTGGCCGATGTACTAATGCCATCANTATCCGTTCTAACGAAAAGCATAACTAATGAACGTCTTGTTTTCACTAGCACTGAAATTGCAAAAATGTGGCTTACATTCAATAACATCGCCAAAAAAATGATAATGAGAACCTCGGTGACCTCGGCGAAGCTCACACACACACACACACACACACACACACACACAGCCACACACACAGCATGGTCTACAGGGGTTTATAGTTAAAATTATCGAAGGAGTCAACAGAGGGCAAAAGTATTAGTCAAATTTTGTAGAAGTGAGTCTCTTGTGTAAATAATTCCTAGTGTTACCAACTTTTTTGTAGGACTTAACCCTGGAAGTAACATTTGAAACCGTCATACAGCAAAACGAAAAGCTCAAAAAGCAAAATTCGAAGGTGCCTAGGACAAAAAAATTCAAGCTTTTCATCGATAGATATTTTTCATTTTCTCGCAAAACATAGATATGGTTAACAAAAGTGATCCGTTTAAAAAAAAAATAGGGGTCACCGTGCTTCTAAGAGAGTTATAATCCAGACAAAATTGTTGGAGTCACGTTCTTGCGTGCCAGGTCGGAGAAGCACTGGAATCTAAAATGGACACGTATCCCATGATTTAGCCTGCGTAGCAAACGTTTCTGTAGGGTTCGGGAGCAAAGAATTACAGCGCGAAAAATGGAGCGAGTAAAAGATGTGGGAGCGGGAGGGGAAGGAAGGAAGGAAACGCTTGCAGACAAACCCCTGGAGAGTCGATGTTTTTGTCGAGGGTCGAGGGTCGAGGGTCCCATGTCGAGGGTCGAGGGTCGAGGGTCGAGGATCGAGGGTAATATTTTTTTCTGGGTTTGTTGTTTTACTCCTTGCTGTAGGCTCGATTTCCGGCGCTCAGTCGAGTCCGGTCTACATGTTCTTCCCCGATTTAGTTAAAATTTAATGTAAATATATCACAGACCTGATTATTTATCTATAACCTTTATAACATTCAAAGTCCGGTTTTTCATGTGACTTCATCACGCTGGATGCTTTGGCCGATGTACTAATGCCATCAACTTTTGAATGGTTATCCGCGTAGAAATAAATCTAAACATTAAGTTTTGCAGTTGTAATTTCTTGAACAAAAAAATAACACATAGGGATAACAGAATGTGATTCGCGTTAATATTTGTATTGACAGTGACAATGTTGTGTCAAAGTGCATCACTCGCTTCGAATTTCACGTTTCTAGCTTCAAATTTTTCACTGTGGAAAACAAATGACAACGCCTTCCCTGGCTTCGTTTGTGTACCTTTTTCTCTATGTCGCTGTAGTCGTTTAGGTCGTGTTACCACCGAAGCGATTTCGTGGAGTGTTAGCTTCATTGTTTTCCAGTGTTATTGACGGGCTGCGATGAGAAATATTCCTTTGCAATTTATCACACAGGAACTGTAGGTGAAATCTGGAGGCGATGAAAGCTTTGGAAGCAAATTTACGGCTATTTTCTTCCTTCGGTAAATATCTGTGCGTTTTGCGATCTAAATTACCACTCCCCTTCGGCAAACTTGCAGGGCTTTGCGATTGGTCGGGATGAAAAATATCTGTGAGATTTGCGAGCTTATTCACCACGCTTAAAGGAAGTAACTTGGCTAGAAGACGCTCGGTTTATTTTTCCAATTTTTCATACATTTGTCTGTAAATTTGGCCGGGTGGACGCGGCTCGCGGGAAAAAAAATACAGACAAATGTATGGAAAATTAGAAAAATTAACTGAGCGTCTTCTAGCTAAGCTACATCCTTCAGACTTGGTGAATACAATCTTCCACTTAGTATTTTATACCTAGTCAGAATGAATGATAGGAAATAAATAGAGGAATTTAAAACATACTAAACGTATTCATGGAGAAACTTTTTAAATAGTCTTTTGTTACCTTTTGTGGCCTTCAGGGAGAAAATGAAGATCATCTTCAGCTAGATACAGCGCGGACAATGTTGAGATGAACCCTTTGTTCCTTAATTCTCCTGGATATTGTAAAAGATCACAGTCGATATCCGACAGAAATTCCTCTCTTGATTTCCTGTAATTCATTCTGATTTTCAAAACTGCAAAAGACAAAATGCCCGTACGCGTGGGTTTTGCTAAAAGCAGGCCAGCGGCCCCCTGCCCACGGCCCACGACGGCCCGGCGGCCCGGCTGCACAGTCTTGATTTTCCACAGCTTTTTTGTCTAGCGGCAAATCTACGCGCATGCACAGATCTGGATAGGGTTTGAGCGTGCAAAATGGACGACGGTGAGCTTGAATTCGTTTACCATTTAATCATTTGAATCCTTGTTTCTGTTTGTTGCATGTTGTTCAGATAAAAACGTTTTCATTCTCTGTTCATTCGTCTCTTTACAGAAACCCATGAACACAATAACTTATATCGTTTGAGAATGGACTTGCTCTCTATCGGGTTCTGTAAACAGACGAATAAACAGAGAATGGCAACGTTTTTCACTTAGCAACATGCAACGAAAGAAAGGATCGAAAAGGACTGAACTGATTATTAAAATGGTAAACGAATTCAAAGTCACCGTCGTCCATTTTGCACGCCCAAACCCGATACAGATCTGTGTATGCGCGTGGATTTACTGCTGAACAAAAAAAAATTGGAAAATCAGGACTGGGCCACCGGGCCACCGGGCCGCCGGGCCGTCGTGGGCCGCTGGGCCGTCACGGGCCRCTGGGCCGCGGGCCTGCTTTTGGGAAAACCCCGTAAGCTTTGCTGACTTTGCTCCTCTTCAAGTGTTTGCGGAGTGGTGCCAAAACGTTTCCAAGAGGGCGGGTAAACTTTGAAGTTTGATTGTCAAAACTTTGAATTTTGATTGACCCGCAGTTGCAAGCGACGGTAAGACCTTTTTTGAACGTTTCCTCCACCGGGCTATTCCTTTGTAATAGCTAGTAGTTACAGTGTAGTTACGGCATGTATTTCAGAAAATTTATTGACAAGTTCGACTGATCGTGTGACAGGAAGTCACGCCAACATTTTACCAAATTAGGTTTGATGTTAATGACAAAGCAAACACACTTCAACGTAGTGAATGGGGTTGACAAGCCTCCGATTCACGACTCCTACGATTTGTGACATTTGAAAAAAAAAAGCTCAGAAAAAAATATTACCCTCAACCCTCGACCCTCGACAAAAAGATAGACTCACCCCTGGATTTTGAAAACCGCCCACTTGGTCTTTCATGCCTGAGTGCGCACACTAAGATTTCGTGCTGTCATCGGCTGTCATAAATTAACCAATAAAATCTTCAGCCTTCCGTAGTGGAAGTGAACTTTGAACCAAAACAAACCTTAACTTGTGAAACTATGTCTGAAACAACGAGCGCACGGTGGGAACGGAGAGATCTCGATGAATTAAATTTGGTAATTTATAATCAAGCTATATTTCTACTCAATCCATCTAAAAGGAAGGACTGCAAGGGTGAAGTTTTAGCACAGATCTGCCAGAAAGTTAAAATGTAAGAAGTATTCAAGTCGTGTTAGTAATCCTTGTGCTCGCAAGATTCAAAATCTTGGATCACTGTATTCATTCATCCAGGAATTGATACAAGGTAAATTAGCAAGTCAACTCCCACAAAGGCAACTCCAGCAAAGACGCATTTGCTGGAAACGCCAGATCCGCAAATCGGTTCGAGTGTTATCGCCTGTAGCAAAAACAAACAACGGAAAGTCTTCTCGGAAAACTTTGGAATTTGNACGAGACGACTAAATTTTTGGTAAGGCAAATATGTGACAAAAACT